GATCTTATCCAGTGTGCTTAAACCTTAATTATAATAACAAAACGTGTGTACTCGGCAGATGGCGTCGAGTAATCCAACCAAACGACGTAGCCGCTATTGGTCAACCATGACAGTAGCAGCATTTACGGTATATGCATGTAATATATACATGTATTGCATTGCCTGGCATGCTTGTAGAGGGAGACGGCACATATTATATATTATATAGTGTAGGCACAGTTAATAAACTTCTTAGTACTCGCAGTCATACGCAATAGGCCACACATTATTTTTTCGTCTAATTTCTGCACTCCGTATCTAACAGTTAAAGATTATCTATTGGCTACTTGTTGAATATTCATCGTACGAATTATAAATATTAAATAGTTTCATTAGTTCAACTATATAACTTTATTGACATCACTCGACAAGCAGACGCGATACCTTATAACCAGAGAATAACATTAAAAAAAAGGTCGGTACCTACATAGGTATCCATATTACATTTGAATACAGTTAGAATCTATCCGTTACGATAAATTATAATTTGTTTTTGTTATGTAAATACAGCTCTATAATTCACCAAAACATATTATGTCATCATCCAAGCCTCATATATCAGCGAAACAAAGGAAAGATATCAAAAAAGAAAAAAAAAACATCAAAAAATCAGATGGTGATAAAAGCTGTAACGAAATATTGGGCCGAAGAGATTGGCCTGATTTGAAATCCGCAAGCAGTAATCGCGGTCGGACAGCGAAGGAACACCACTCGAAGGAACCAACAAATACTCACAATGACAACAACAACTGTCCACAACGTGAGTGCATATAGATATATTATGTATTATATAATTTTATTCTATAATGGACCTTATCCTAGTATAATAATACATACAATTTCACAATAATCTTTACTATACAATTCTTTCCTTCATAGATACCTGGTACATGCATCGATTAAATAAACTCAAATATATGCGTATAGCATCTTTTAATCAATGTGTAACATTGTAAATTAAAACAGACCTAATTGTGCCATTGTGGTTGGGCGGACGAGTGTAGGTACAGTTGGTTAGTAGTTTATTACCTCGTAATAATACACTCGATCATCGAGTGTCTCTAGTAGTAAGTATTTGATAATATTATTAGTTAAAATAATTTATAGTTAATCCCTTAACGAATATATATATATATATGTATAAATAAGTAACCTCTGTTCAACAAGAGAACTCACGACAAAAATCGGCTCAGTGCACGTACGATATAGTATTGTGTCCCGCAAAGTTCAGAGTGTTTCGACAATCAACCTGTGATCGTTATAGACAACCATAATAATTAATAACACAACCCCCTTCAGTAAAGTTAAAATATATCCTGACACCAGCTAGTACGCTACATTCAGGATTTTTTGCGACGCACTAACGTTACAACTATACTCCCTCGCCCTGCCTCCATAAAAAAATAGATTGTTAAATCTTTACTTTATTTAAAACGTTTTTTCTAACGCGCTATTGTTAAGTCGTTTAGATGTGACCCTATTAATTTTTCACTAAATTTTTTTAAAAATTTTTCATTGAATATTGGTAGTTTGTGATTTCGCATTTGGTCGCGGGCCCGGACTTGACTACTCGAGTTATTTGTGGGTTAACAAAACAAATTCACTTATGCGCTTATCATTTTTATAACATAAATAATTAAAAGAATATAGTTAATAAAGTTATGGTAATATTTTAAATTTTAATTATTACACAATAAATTGTAAGTAGCGACAAAATAACCATAGTTATTAGTGTTATTACCATAGTCTAACAGCTAATTTTTAACGCGCTATAGTATTTCGTCATATTAGGAGAATTGTAGGTTATTGTATTAACTACGTTAATCGCTACAAATAAAGTGCCACTCCCGACCACTGCAATCAAATAATTGTGCCCATCGATTATAATTTATATTTACTTAAATTCTATGTAAGCACTAGTGGTAATAGCCATGAACCCAACAAGAGACAGCGTAATAATAATAATTTAATCATAAACATTATCTTTAGTGTTCGAATTTGAGAGCTTATCACATTAACTTAGGTATTTCTCAATAAAAATTAAAAAACAATATTATTTCCTCATAGTAAGTAATGTTATTTTTGTCCATCATAGATAAAACTAATTCGATCATTTAAATTTTTCATCTTATTAAATTCTGAACTGAACGATGAATGTACCTACGCATCGGTTTTATTTTGTTTGTGTCTGCCATCACGTTTTTTAGCCGATCATATTTTTCCGAGCGGAGACGGTCTATAGCAGGTATGACTATATAGATAATAGTTAATAGTAATACGATATAAACTATAAATAGACAATAACTTAAAGTTAATCAAAATAATTTGAAAAGCTCAATCCTAATAGAAAACATTAAAATAATAGGTAAACGATAAGTCGAGAACACTTCAAATCCCCATTAATATTTTAAAATTACAATTTACTAAAGAAAAACTAAAATCATTATTAATTGAATATGAAATGTCGCCAAACTTTTTATATTTGTTATATTTTTTGGTTTCAATAAGAACTACTGAAAATGGTAAACTTCGTTTTCAATTTTTAAGAATTAGCTATAACAATAGAGCATTCGACGCATTATTAACTTCAAAATAATTTGCAAAATGTTATGATAGTGGATTTTTTTTGATTCCACAAATAAAAATAGTGTGGAATTTTTCCTCTTGACCCACCTAAACACCAACCAAATCCAATTTTCTATCAAAAATCAAATTCAAAGTTGAAAAACAAAGCATTTTTCATGTTCAAAAATTGATGACAGACCAAAAAAAAAAACACATACCTATATTTGGAGAATCAATAGGTACTTACATTCATCGCTCCGCTCAGAATTTAAAATAAATTACAAAGTAGTTCCTAATACATTTTTATATAAATAAATTATTAAGTACCCATAAAATTAGAGTCTGATACACCATACACTGATGCATCTCAGTTCTCCACTCAGAATCCTTTTTTTATATATACCTACATTAAATTAAAATTTCACACTTCCGCCGGTCCATTGACTATTACTGTGACTAATAGTTTACACTTTAAACCTTCTACAGCAGAATTAAATTCTCGGTTTTAAAGGTCAATATGATAAGTAAAAATAATAGACAGGTGCTAATAGAATTGAAATTTGAAAAATTGAATGTGATACCGATTTATAACTAAATTTTAAATATCTAATGTCTAATGATTTTTATTAAACATATTTCTTTTGGAACATTACCATTTTTAATTTCAAACACAGTTGTGTTTACATTCCCCCACGATTATGATGGATCGTAATTTGATTATATTTTAGAAGAGAAATAATTTATAAATTTTCTGTTTGAAATAGCCAAACGACAAGAATTTTTGCCTTCGAAACATACTTTGGGAAATGCATCAAAAAAAAAAAGCAAGCGCATTCATACTCTTATCTGAAGACAATAGACTATAACAGGTAAATTTATCTTTCATAAAATATACCTAATATTATTACATTCATCCTTTACATAGCATGTAAATTACCATAATGACTTTTGCTAAGCATTATGAACTATAGTCACCCAACTTAAATTATGTATGCAGAATACATATTTAATTAAGGATCCAAGTTAATTATTACATTAAAAACATAATATAATGTTAAGTCAAACTATGTTATAGTAGTATACCTAATAATATTATATCGAGAATTATCAACTTAGTAATTATTACTTTATTTGTTTTTTTTATATATTTATAAATGATATGGTATAATAAACTCACTTTTTATAATATGTTTACTTATAGTTTAATACCTACAATCATTCGGTCTTGTGATAAAAGATATCAAATTGTATGTTTAAATAACAATAACATAATTAAAATGTAATTTTATTGAGAATTAAAAAATAACAAATCAATCACTTAAAATTATTGATAATATTGGTTCTTTTTCAAACAATTTCTACATACAATATGTAATAAATATTTAGACTTTTAGTGCAAAATCTACATAATTCTGGGAATTTTTCAATAGCCGCTGTAGGCTGTATCAGTATGTTATATAGGATATAAGGATACGTAAACATAATAAACTGAAGTTAGAAAAAGTTAGGTACGAGGAAAAACATAGGTAACATTCTTCCATTTGTTCCGTATTGTAGAAAATATCTGTTTGAAAATCCCAAGAGTAAAGAACACAGTAATTTAGATAGGTACCTACATGAACAATGAACAATAATAGTGATTTCTGATTAATGATTATGTATATTTTTTATTCTAAACAATATAGAAATTGGTTTACTTAAATGTTGTATAATCTATGAAGTCTTGATTTCTCTTTTATGCTCTATTTTACAAGGTATTATTATACATAATGTCAACAAAAAAAAAAGAAAGAAATATCTGGTTATAGAATTAAAAACCAAGGCATCCATATTTACTCAAAACTCTAAATAAAATGTCATTCAAAAAATATATTTATACTTTAAACTATTAATAAGTAAAGGTCAACCTACATAAAAATCAATTGACAAAATTTGGATTATTTTAATGTAAAGACAAAGACAAGGTTGTAAATTGTGATCCATAATATGATTGCAATGTTAAATTTGAAAACGCACAGAGTTTTTAGAAATTTACCCATGTGTGCTGGGTAAATTTTTACCCCAGAATATAAATTATGTATAATTGGTAAATTGTTCAACATTTTTAGTTATTTACATAAAAAATAAAATTATAAAACACACAATTATTAAGTTTTCAAATTGTATTAGCAAATTGAATGATTATATCATCAATAAAAATTAGTTAGATAACAATTTTTTGTACAAATATTAATACAATATTATGTTTGTTAGTTTTAAATATTAGTTTTAATACTACTGAAATATTTTTATTTGTTATGTGTACATCAAAAAATATTTATAAAAAAGCAATTAACTATAATTTAATTATTATAATATTAAAAAAAACAAATTTATTAATTCTGATCCATATTATGTTTACATTGTTAAAATATTTTTTTTTTTAATTAACGTATAATTTCAATTTTTAATGTTTAGTCATAACTCATATTCATTCAAGTAAGATACCTACTCAGATACACTTTATATGTCTCTGAATCTATTGCTTTACAGTGACTTCATATTCAAATCTTCTTTTCCTAAAATATAAATCAAAATCAAATCGTTAAAATATAAAGACGATTTTTTTTTTTTTAGATGTGAGATATTAACCTTGTTTGCAACGATCTAGATGATGCCATGGCCGTCTGTTCGGAAGGTTCTTGAAGTTCTGTGTGTTCAATGGATGGCGAACAGTTAAATATATTTCTTGTCATGGTTCTCATTTCTTTAAGAGGAAAAATAAACATTTTTAATTAAAAATGTATATTTGGATAGTTATTCAACTCACCTATGGTATTGTAAGACGAGTTTGACACCGATATCACTTGAACATTGTTATTATTTGTATAGACATTATTATTAACCAGCGTTGAAATACCACGTACTGTATTCATGCCTGCTGCAGTATTATTGATCTGCCGCCCACCTAAATAGACAAAAACAAGAAAATATTCAGTTATGTTAGAAAACAGCTAAGAGTTATGAAATGCAGGACAGCAACTTTTTAAACTCACCAACACGGATGCGATGTCCACTGTCAAACACTGTTGGAATCGCAAAACTTTTTAATAGTAGCTTGTCTGGAAGTATGAAGTGTTGATCTTTGAAATGTTTACTGCATACATACTGACGGTAGATGTTGACCAGCGAGAAGTTTGGATACGAATTTAGTATTGATCGGATCCACTTAATTCCTATGATATCATATTTTTCTGTCGGACGAGGAATCATGAGGGAACAAATCAAACTTAATTCATTAATAATTACACATTAACTTCACTAATAATACAAGTAAAAAAATTATGGTATTTTCATCATTGTTACAGACTACAAATAATTTTGAGAAATAACTGGGACGAACCGAGTTTGGTTATCAGTGCAATTCAACATGTTTTGAATTTATGAACTTTGCAATATGTTTAAAAAAAAAAAAGTGTTTTGTGTGTTCCCTTTTGGCACAGTAAAAATACTTAAATTTTAAAATTTGAGTGGTTTCTGCTTTCTGGAAGCAAATTGGAACTTATTGTTACTATTAGATTGTAAGTTTAATAATGCAATAATAATTTGAAAATCCTTCATTAATATTTTGTACACAAGATAAAATTTTCAAAATGCAATGTTTTCGGTAAAATTTAAGTAAGCATTCGGTATTACCAATAGATAAACATATCATCACACATACTTAGTCATCATATAAGCTGACGGTCACCTTTGCTCGGAATCATTTTTTGTAATGAGTGATGTATCATTGAATTCAAATTTAACACATACATTATAATTTATAGTGACTTACTCTATTACAAGGTGCATTTGACACCTACAGTATAGCAGAGCAGATACCAATTTTTTTATTGTATATCATCACCTTTTGGAAAAGAAAAATGGTGTTATTTCTATATATTTTAGAGAACTGAAGATTTAGGATTCAATACTCAATGAATTAAGTCTATCGTCATCCGTGGTTTATCTGAAGTACGATTTAAATACATTTCGGAGGATATATGGATTGTTCTGCTGAACAATTTGATACTTTACAACATAAATACATATGTAATCCTATTCCAATAAATGGATACAAGCTTGAAATGTCAGGACCTTTACCTATTTTATTGAAATCTTAAATAATTATTGTCAGTCTAGTAAAAAATACCTACCTAATTTTGAAAAAGTATTAATATGATAATAAAAGTATTTGATTAAAAAAGTATTAAAAATACTATACTATATACTAAATGCATTTTATGAATACTCACTAAGTATCTGAAAACCAATATAAGTATTTTTTTTAAATTATAGGTAGGTAAATTATTTAATTTCCCTATTATGTGACCAACTATAAACAAATATATGATTATATTACCAATATTGTTTCAACGCAAACTATAAAAATAAAATAACCAAATTTTTGTGAAAAAATAATTAATAAAACTGACTTATGATGTTTAAATATTTCAAAATACATAAAAAAAAAAACTATTTAAAATGTAGAATACCATAAAAATATTTTACGAGGTTATAAAGGTTATCGCTTACATATTTTCTCAATAAATCCAATAAAATAAAAATAAAAAATTTCATTTTATTGTAAGGAGCTTAAATTTAAAACAATTTAACTTCTAGCGACGTCCCTCCCTTTAAAGGGATTCGGAATTTGCCTCCCTCCCCCAGGGCAATTACCCCTCGTCACCACCCTAAATAGTTACCCCGATATGCACCATGTCCTTCAAGACACACCCATCACTACAAACAATAATCATTTTACTCAAAACACCATTAAAGTTTCCTTAATTCGACCACGCATTTTAGTACAAAAATAAAATTTTTAATTTACTTATAAATATAAATGTATAAGTATATATATTATGTAATATGTACTTCCTATAATATGGGTATTTATACTCACTGAAATAACTTCACTTTTCTTGAATTGCTTTGACAATCCGGTATCGAACAAGTCACGACCATCTTGTGATTTGCAGAATGTGGTGATGCTTTGGTTTATTGCAAATGTCTAAAACGGCACAGACAATCGTTATTTTTTGAATAATCTCAGATATGGACCAACACTGAAGAGATTTCTCGATGCAGACTTAATTTTAATACTTCGCAATTTATGAATCGGACTGACTGACTGATCTCTGCATGAACGATATATGAAATAATGTATTACTTATAATTAATACCATACATTTAATACGTAGAACAATAAAGTAGCGACGCTCGACTTAGCAAATGCATACAACGTCACACCACTGCAAATACAATAACTAAAATGACGTGGTATCTGGTTGTCACTAAAACCAATTCCGTCGAAGCTAGTACCTGTTAGTGCCATGTAGCGCTCTGCTCGGTGGTGGTATAGAACAGTGGTTTTCAAACTGGGTGCTGCGGCACACTGGTGTGCCGCGGTTTTTCCATGAATTACCAATTGCATTGAATTTTTTACCTAAAAAAAGGTCAGTGTGTCGTAAGAATTATTTGAAGTATATGGTGTTATGAATAATAAAAGTTTGAAAACAACTGGTATTGGACGATGGCAATAATATTATCAAGACTGGGCTTAATAATATTTTTAACTCAATTTTTTTTAAAATTAAGTTAACAAATACTACTAACTTAACTCAACTTCAATCAATAAGTAAATGTAAGAAATTAAAAAAAAATGCATTTATAAGGTCAATAAGGTCAATAAGGTTAATAAGGCATTGGAAACTGGAAAGAAATATCTATGAATATTATTATGCATGTAATTTAAAACATGTATCATTTAAGATCTTCATATTTCACTTGGAGTTTATTTAAATTTAAATTTGAGTATAAACGTGCTTACTGTATTGTTTAACATTTATAATTCAAAAAATAAAGAACTCAAACATTCAAATTATAAAAAACTTCCTTATTTCTACTTATAGGTAGTGTATATTATATAATATATACATACAATATATACTTCCCAACTAGATTATATAAAATATCTATTCAATTTTAATAACATTGACATCTCAAAATTTTGATCTACCATTGATAATTTTATTTAGTAACACTGTCCTCCAGCTTTAAAAAGGTTAACATATTTATCTTTAATATAACCAATTTAGTAATGGTGATAATGATAAATGTTTAATATTTGTTTTAGAAAAAATTATCAACATGAAGTTTACAATGGTAATTTGAATCTAAAACATTATTTCCCTCAAACTCAGTGGCGTCATTTCAGTTTTCAATAGAGGGGGACAAAAGATTTGACCAGCCCGAATGAGTAAAAAAAACCTCTCACTTCGCTCGCTCAAGCATATGTCTACTTTTTTTTTTATCAAATTATCATTCTCACCTTACTTATTTCATAATTTTTATATTTTGTATTCCAATTATTAAGTTAATTTATATTAACTGGGTAATAACATCATTTGCAAATATATGGTAGCAAATATTTTATAAAAATAATTTTATATTAATATACCAATTAAGACTATGTAAACTGATAAACATTTTTATTAATTAAGAAAAATATTATTGATTTATTTAAAGATATCTTTTTTTTTTCGTTTTTGAAAATACATCGACTTTATCATCTAAGTTTATTTTACCTGATACATCACTTTCCACTGCTATGACTAGTAAATAACTCATCTGTTCATTTCCCATTGTTAGCCGTAGATTGGTTTTAACTAATTTTATAGAAAAAAAAAGCGCTCATTGGATGCAGTAGTAACAGGGGAAGTCATAAGAATATTTATAATTTTAAGAGTTCCTTGTATAGCATTTGGAGTTGATTTAAAATGTTTGAAATTGAATCAAGGTCATGAATTCCATCACCTCTGTCTTTCTTGAAATGATTTATTACACATTTGCAGATGGAAATTCACTATGAACATTTTCATAGTGAATTTTAAAATTTCTTTAATGGTTAATAAAAGAAACCAATTGGAGACTTTCTAAATTAAAATAATCAATATTAGAGGATAAGAAAATATTACAAGTAAGAATTATTTCATTACCTACTAGGATTTCTGAAGAGATGGTTTAGTTCATTCAAATATCTAAAACAAATAATATTAAAAAATATTATACACTCATTAATTAATGCTGATAAAAGTAATAAGTTTTTCAATTAAATTATATTAATAATTAATACAAATAGAATGTAAATTTCAATTAAGGTTGTAAATTGTAGTATAAAAACTAATTTTTTATGTCACTCAATGGCAAATTGTTTTCAATAGATGTATCATGTATAGCTATTATTTTTGAACCTCGTCCCTTGCCTTATTGTAGATTGAACAAAAAAATCTTGAAGATTTCTATTTAATCTCACTGGTCTTTGATTTTTTGAACTATTTCATCAACTATTTCATTTTTTTCAGTAACAAACTTATGAAGTGTAAAAACATATTAAAGGACAAAAACTTTTAAGTAATCAACCAAAAACACAAAAACTATCTTTTAATAAAAAAAAAAATCAAACACCAATATTAAAAACAAATTAAACGTCAAAACATTGTTAAAGCACATTTGGTCTTACTGCATTCAGTTATAGGGAGCAGCTAAACTATCAAATTTACAAAAAAAATAGGTAGATATCTCAATCCATTGAATTCCCTCTAATAACAGGTGCACCCTACTACATCTTCAACTACACTTTACACACCAACCTAGGCATAAATATCATATCCAAGACCATACCTACCTTTAACAGACGTTCCAATCCGGCCTAGAAAACCATCAAAACCTTCCACTAGAGTATCTCAAATAGTAATCCTGGAAACCCACTTAAACCATTAACTCACCAGTGAAGCAGATACCTCTTAAATAAAAATTAATGCCTAAATATCAAATATGCATATTTGTATATAATGCATACATACAATTTAATAATTTAAACTGCGGTGTTTTAGTAAAAATTGGACTCACCGAGGTTCTGGAATAATAAGTAGTTGTAATTCATGAAAGATGCTGAAGTTTAAAATTAGTTTAAAAAAAACATTTTCACTGTTCCCAAATAACCTTCACCAAGCTTTATAACCCAATACATTTTAATTATTTATTTATTTATTGGGAACAACAGGCTTATTATCAAGGCTCATATAAAATATATTTTTTTAACTGCATCTAGTAACTCAAAACTCAACATTCAATGAACAGATTACACTTATATGGAATAAAGCAACGAGTATGTTTGGTTTCTTAAAACGAAACTGTAGTGTATTTAAAGACCCAACTTGTTTGAAAACAGTATGACACCATAAAATATTATATTGTTCATTTAAACTTTTATTAATAGAATATGGTTCAATCATATGGACTCCTATCATATTGTTCAAACTACCAAAACCGAAGAATTACACAAACCTTTTTCCGTTTGATATAATACAAACTTGGAGAAATTGACACCCCATTTAATGTAAAAGCTAAAGCATTAAATCTTCTATTTCTAGCAGATAAAAGAGACATAACAATCAATTATGTTTTTTCTTAACTCAATTATTAAATAATTTAATTGATTGTCCTGAGCCTTAGCTAAAATTCCTTTAAATATACCAAGCCACACTCTCTGTTTTACATCAAGCTTTTTTATACAACTTCAAAAACAAAACTATATTCATTATGCCCATCTAAATTTTATTTTATTAAAGGGCAATTCCATTAATAACGCTCTGACGTTTTTTTCGATTCACCAAGCAGAATGAAAAAATAGTTTTAAGTAATAACTCATAATTTTATGTTTTGTATTAATATTTAACATTCATGTATAAATGCCATCCATTTAGTTGTATTTTATTTTAATTTTAAGATAAGTTTTAAGGTTTTTTTTATTCCTACTTGACACAAATTAACATCATTCTCAAATTTTTGAATTAGCTGTAAGAAACTTTTTTAATTTGTCATATCGTTTATGAATTTTTCATAATCATTCTCTTATGGTTCCCAGGAGAAGTCAATTTGCCTACTCCGGCATATTTCAGGCGCTCTCATCAAACGTTGTATTCTGTCAATATTCTGGTAGTTGTCCCAGTCGAATAGTGCTTGACTAGCACAATCATTCATTCTATCGTCATCAAGCCAATAAACTGATTTTTGATCTTGTTCGATCTCTTTCGTTTTTCACCATACACAAAAACGTTGGATAAAATATTTGAATTTTTTTAATAATTATTTTATATTAGCTCTCATTTCTAAAAGACTAATTAAAAACATTATCATGATGACACACAAGTACACAATACACAAGAAAAACACATAATATAGATTATAGACTGTGATATAGGGTAGAATAGAGTTTCCATAGGTCCTGGACTTTCCGGGACACTTCCGGTTTTGTGACTTTTGTCCCGGTGCCCCGAAAAAAGGGCTCTGGCTACGAAAATATCCCGGATTAATATTTATAGTCGAAAAATTACAAATTTTTATTACATATATTCACCGGAATACCGGATATAAATTACGGTATTCGGAAAAAAAATCCCCAAAGTTTGTTTTGTCGAGTTTGCAAAGTTTACTTATATAATATAATTGTACATCCTAAACGGAAACAACAAATGTCGGTGTAGCGTCCTCTCAATAGTGACCAATTAGTTTGAGTCCAGAACGCATAATAGCCGTTAATCGCATTATCGACAGATAAAGATGTTATCTACGTATCCAAATCATTATAGTAGTACGATTGACAAATAATAAAATGATAAATGATCGGAACAAAATTTCTTGAGTCTAGAAAAATATTATTGGTGGTCTATTTATTACCCCTCCACAGACTGCGGGCCTATATTATTAACGATAAATTATTACGGTTAAACTTTAGGGCTTAGACGGTTAGTATACTTCTATAGTTCCTGTACATAGTTCAGTATAAAGTACCTTGTCTCTGAGTAATTTTTATATCTGTGACTGTGTAATTATGGAAATACTTAAATCCAATCAAGGAAATGACAAAATTTGTTTTAAAGATTTTACTTACGTACATCAAAAAGATTGTAAATTTTTTATCAGATGGAGATGTTCAAATTTCAAAATATAGTTCGTTTAAGTGTCCAGCTATTTTAAAAACATCACATAACATTAAAAATCCACGGGAAGTCCACGATCATAATTATTCTGCAGATCGAAATGTTTAGATTTATTTAATTATTATACTATCATTTATACGTCCATAATTTTTCGTTTTTTTTAATAAGTATTTTTTATTTTTTTATATTTAAAATGACTTAAATATGTATAAACTTTTTCTCTTATAAATAATATCATTATTTATAATTATAAAATTAATTACTTAATTTAAAACATTATGTTATTTAATTACTGTACTATTTTTACTAAATTGCACTTACCCGTTTATAAATAAATAAATATTTATATAGCAATATTATATATTCACTTATTTATCAATATTAAAAATAATAATTATTTATAAATATATAGCTGTAGCTGTCACAAAAATTCAAATAAAAATCAAAAATAAAGCTTTAGCGTCAAACCATACTCCCTGCCAAATATTTTCCGAGGCAATCGAAAATGTAGCAGTAGATATTTTAGCTGAATTGCCTAAAGAAAGTCATATTAAACGTACCATTAGAAACCATCGAAGTTATCACAATCCAAAAGAACCTCAAAAAATACAAGAAATTATTATTCAAAGTATAAAATAGTATATTATATTTAGGAGAAATACATATTATAGTTAACAATAGTTATATCAATTTTTTTTTATAGATGAATGGGCATTTATTGATAATGATTGACTATTACTGAAGGACAATGGTCCAGAGGCGTCTGAAAGAATAGTTATGTTTGCAACAGATGATCATTTAAGACTACTTATAGCATCAGACACCTGGTATTTAGACGGAAGTTTCAGATTGTCTCCAAAATTTTTCTTACAATTATACGTAATACAGATTTAAAAAAATAATGTATTTTTAACTTCAATTTATTGTATTTTACAAAGAAAAACTAAACAAACATATGTGGAAATGTTCCAAATTAATAATTATAATAGAAGAATGTGCTAAACGAAATTTATATCCCAACCCCAAATACTTACATCTTGACTTTGAAAGTGCAGTTATTGAAACAGCAAAAGAAGTAATTGGTGTTCATATAAATGTAAGAGGCTGCTTCTATCATTTGTGTCAATTAACCTTCCAGAAAGTACAAGAACTGGGACTTGCCACAATGTACAAAAGGGATGAAGAATTTCGGAAACATTGTGGAATGGTTGACGCACTTGCATTCCTTCCTTCGCACCTCATAGAAGAAGGTATGACTTATTTAAAAAACAATTTACCCGAAAATCTCACGGATCTATTAGATTATTTTAATGTATACTACGTTAGTGGAAAATATCGAAGAATTGAAAATAAAGAAAATAATATTAGGTTTCGAAAACTACCACCAATGTACCCACCAGCTGTATGGAATGTAAATGAATCTACCCTCAATGACTGTAACAGAACCAACAACATTGTTGAAGGATGGAACAATAGGTTCTCAAAACTAGTTGGTCAAAAACATCCCACAATATGGAAACTAATAAGAAAAATTAAAAACGAAATCAACGCCGATCGAGCTAAGTTAGCAATAGATGATTTAGGTGAACTCGAAGAGAGCCGAACAAAAAGAGACCACAATAAAACTGTAAACATCCGTCT